TGTCGGCGCCGTCTCGGGAGGCCGGGCGGCCTGGAGTCCGCTCCGAGGGTCTGAGGAGACGCCCCCGGCGGGGCTCGGCCCCTTCTCTCGGCTCCGCTGGCCTGCTTTGTGGTGTTTTCGAGATTTCTCGGTCCCTGTCCCATCAGAGCCAAGGCGGTTCCAGAAACGTGACCCGGAGAGCTTGGGGAACCGGGCGCCGCCGCCCGAGCGCTGTGGGAGGTGGGCGGTGGGCGGTGCCTTAGGCAGGAGCCCGGGGTGACTTTTAACGTCCCGCAAACTCTCCGTGCAGTTCGGATGCGGAGGCCCTTGGCCCGAGCAGAGGCGGTCCAAGTGTGACCGGATCACGCAAAGCTCCTAGGCAGTCGTTCTGGAAAGCCGGCGGGGCGGCGTGGAGTTGAGCAGTGGGACGCCCTGCCCGGCCGGTGTTTTTCCTGGTCTCGCTCCCCTGCCCCGTGCTACCCCGCGCCCACTGGCTCTTTGGCGGCACGCAGACCTGGGGTCGTGTAGGGGCCGTGTCTGCAAGACACTGGGAACCCCAGGGCCCCGGTGGGAGCCTAGAGGGAGCGAGGGTCCGGGCCTGAAGAGGGTGGCTGGTGGCAGGAAGAGGGAGGGCTCCCCTTGCCGCCCGCGCCTAAAATTCTCTGTCAAGGCGGAGCTGAAAGGAAATCAAACAACATATTAAGCTATCAGTTCGCTAACTTTTGCGCTTTAAAGAGTCTTCGCCCTAAAAATGGCTTTCTGGAGATCTCTGTGGGGATGTCGGGCATTTTTAGGAGCGTGGTGCTGGCTGGCCGCTCCTGGGGGTCGCCTTCTGGCTCACAGCCTCCTGCCCTCCCGGCGCGCTCAGCCCGCGGCTGGGAAGCCTGGATTTGAAGCCTTGGAGAAAAGGGATTTTTAAACCAGTTTCCCATCGGTCGGGTCAGTAATTCCTACCCCTGCCCACTAGCAGATACACACACTCACCTCTCCCCTAAAGTACTAAGTTCATTACGTGAGCAACGATCTTAATCTCCACGCGGAAAACGAGTCCCGGTTCAGCACCGATCGGGGGAGCAGTGACTAAAGTCACCTGCTTCACCCACGCTCCCGGGCTGCTCCTACCCGCGGAGGCCTCTTGGGTATCCGCGTGGGTCCCTAGCTCCGCGCCGAGGCGCGCCCGCTCGGGGTCCGAAGCCCTGGACTGCTTTCTCCGGGTAGGCGACCGACTTGAATGGTGGAATTGCTCACTCGTGCTCCTCCCGCCGTCTCCCGTGCCTTCCTTCTTAGGTCTGCCTCGCACCTCGGCACTGGCTGGACTCTCTGCTCCCCAAAAGTTTCCTGTCTCCACTCGGAGCCCCCAGATTCTACTGGCCTCAGTCCCCCCCAAGCGCTGCTCCGGGCGCTGCGGCCTCGGTGGCCCGGACCTCATTCGCCTCCGCCTACCTCATCCACCTTTCTGGACTTGGGCGTGTGGTAATTGCTCAGCGAGGCTCCTTTGAAGACCCTTGCTGAGGGTAACCTAGGATTTTAAAGAACAAGGTTCTTCCTTTTAGGGGAGACCTTGCGACCACTGATGACTCCATGACTGAGAGACTCGGGTCAGAGCCAGACACCCCAACAGCCGCCAGCACCCCCACCCCCCGCGGCGAGCTGAGTCTGGCACCGGGGGGAGAAGGAGGCGGCCACGCGCACCCCTCCCTTTCCTGGCAAACCCTCCTGGATCCAGTTTGTTCTGGAGACCCAGTTTCCCCTGGACAAAAGCGGGGAAAACACAATGTGTAAATCCACGTCCCCCTAGCCCTCCGCCTCATCCAAATCTGATTTGCAGAAGTGCATTTTCAGGTAGTCCTAAAATGTGAACAGCCAGCTTTGTGTGTTATCTCGTGGGGGTGGGGGTGGAAGGGGAGGAGACTCCCGCTGCCCGC